GTCGAGCTGCTCCTGAAACTGATCAGCAGCTGATTCCAGGAAGCCTGGGGCAGAGCAACTCTGCCTCGGGCTTCCTGTAGTCAGCCGCTGCTCAGTTTCAACAGCGGCTGAATCTAGACGCCAGTTCCGACTTACATACAAATTCAACTTAAGAACAAACCTACAGTCCCTATCTTGTACTTAACCCGGGGACTGCCTGTAGTTGATATGGGGAAGCACTTTGCAGAGCCACAGCAGGGGCAGCTCCCAGAGCCAGCATGAAGCCAGGACTGAGCAGCAGTGGGGGGACGGGGACAGGCTCCCCCCAGCACCTGTTTCCCACCCCCATTGCTGCCTCCAATACAAAGGCAGCAAAGGGGTGGGGGTGAGTAGTCAAGTACTGGACTCGACTAGTCCCTTACATCCCTAGACGTGGTCCCACTCATTGACTCTGTTGGTGTTTAGCATTTTGGAGCATGTCAAATATACCTCAGAGTTGCTATAATTGATATCCACTGAATAGGCTGTTGAAGAAAGTTTCTACGTTTACAGAACTGGGATCCAGAAACTACTGCATTCTAGTTTCCTCTGATCAGTACTGGGGCCCTCAAGTGTCCTTGAACTATGTCAATACATCATATGCATGCACCTCCAAATGTAAAAACCCAAAGCAGGTCAAAGAAAGTGAAACAGACTCACCCTAAAGCTATTTTTGGCCCTTGTTAACCATGGAGGCTTATAGAGTGAGCTGTCCTGGAGTTATTTTGCATGCAATTCTACAGCATACACCATTTACATTATTTTATTAAAAGTTTCTAAGTCTGCTTGCTATACATGACCCTAAATCTGTGGTGTCCAACTTGCTGGCTACATGTAATTATTTGGCCAGTTGGGTCTGGCTAGTTTGCTATAGCAATAGTCACTGTAGTAGCTACAGGGTGGACACCATGGCCCTAAATCAGAAGCATTTCACCATATAATGCAAGATTCAGGCAACAGTGGAAATGACAATGGACAAACTATCTGTTTGAATTTTTTTTAAATAAAAGACCTCCCAAGCGAAGGTGTTTAATTATCTAGCCAAGTTTAATTATCAGCACTAGGTTTCCTTTGTTGTATCTTGAAATGACAGTATCTTCAGATGCGATGGGAGTCTGAGTTGACCCTTGCTGATATTTTTCATTGTGTTCTTGTCACTGCAGATGCTGAGTAAAAATGAATCTAATAAGAGGGAGCAAATCAAGCCACAGAGAGATGAATCTGAAGAGGAGCTAGAGGATGAAATGGAAGATGCTATACAAAAAGTCCGCAATGCAACTGGGTGTTCAGTCAGTATCTAATCTAATCCTTCATTTCTGATGCACACAATGGAAGGCACCTCTTCTTACATGAAAGTTGACCTGTGGGTGGTTCTTGGGCTGATGTTACTGAGCAGTTTCAGCACCAGAGCTGCAAATCACTGGTCAGGACTTTGAAGGGATGTGCTTTATAATACAGGTATACTATCTACAGGTGAAGTGTATGTCAAGAATGACTAGTGATTTTGGGGTATTTGGCTTGAGGCTCCTGAAGGTGTCAGATTTTCATACTGAGCGTTCTTTCTGAAATTCAGGCCCTTTAAGGTATCTCAAAGCAAACACCTAAAAATCTCTACACGCATTGACCGTCATTGTTAAATAGCTGTAATTAGCAGTAGCTAATTACAATCCTGTGGATTATTATCTGTATAGTTAATAGGGGCTGACCAAAAACTGGGTTCCAGAGTGCTGCAATACATACAGACAAAGAACTCTTACAGTCTGACATGCTTAGATTATGCAGCCTACACATTGGCATGTCAGCACTCATGCACGTGACTGTATAGTCTACTGAGTTTCTGGATTCTGCTTCTGAGTTTAAAACCAAAATGTTCACACTATCTACAGGTGAAGTGTATGTCAAGAATGACTAGTGATTTTGGGGTATTTGGCTTGAGGCTCCTGAAGGTGTCAGATTTTCATACTGAGCGTTCTTTCTGAAATTCAGGCCCTTTAAGGTATCTCAAAGCAAACACCTAAAAATCTCTACACGCATTGACCGTCATTGTTAAATAGCTGTAATTAGCAGTAGCTAATTACAATCCTGTGGATTATTATCTGTATAGTTAGTTCCTAGGGGCTGACCAAGAACTGGGTTCCAGAGTGCTGCAATACATACAGACAAAGAACTCTTACAGTCTGACATGCTTAGATTATGCAGCCTAGACATTGGCATGTCAGCACTCATGCACATGACTGTATAGTCTACTGAATTTCTGGATTCTGCTGCTGAGTTTAAAACCAAAATTTTCATTACAATCTCACACTTGACATTGCTCTTTATTCTGCCCTAGTGAAAACTAGAAACGTGCAAGTTTGTAAGAATTGCCCAAGTAAGTTTTGCTTTTAGCTAGAATGTGCAGGTAACCAAACAGGTCTGAGTGGTTCATGTGCTAACGACATCTGTTTGTGGATAGGACATTGATTTAATCATCCAGATTCTGGAAGTGAAGAACTATGATATAGACTCTGCGATATTTGCCATTCTCCAAGTGAATGAAGTACAAAGAATCTGTAAGTAAAGGGAGCATTTCTTGAATACTTCTGTTTCTGAAAAAATGCTGTCCGAAGAGCACTGGAGACAAAGGTGCTCTCCTTGTTTGCATGATGGGGATTGCACTGCTACTGCCAGTGCTAGCTTCTCAGTTGTTCTAAGCTTCCCCTGGCTTAGAAGGAACGCTTTTGAGGGGATGAGGGTAAATTTCGACTCTGATCAATGTTTGCCCACTTGGGCTGAGATTTCCAGTGTGGTGCTGTCTCTAAAGCTGGTTTCTGTGACTATGCTAGGACCTGGAGTGAGCCCACCAGCTGATTTAATCTAGGACACCACACAGCTGGTCCAACCAACCTAGGCTGGGTTTGTGCTACAAGACTCCACTTCAGGTTACAGTCAGTCAGTCCCCCAAGTAAATGCATTTTCAGTGCTTGTTGATTGATCTCATTGATTCTAACCCATTCCAAACTTGCTGTTGCACTCCAGTTTCTGGGGTCCCTTCACCTGTGACTTTTTGGTCCTGAGGATATCTTCCCCACAAAGTAAATAAAAAGCAAATGCAGGTAGAAAGCACGCTACTGAAAAGCAGCAAGGGGCAAGTGCATTCTCATACAAAAGAGGATCATATGTATATCTTTGAATGGGTGTGAAATTTGAGGATTAAAAAACCCTGCATGGGTTTCGTAAACTGGTTACGAAGCCCCATAATTAGCTAAATATTTTAAGCAGTGTATGCTGCTTCCACCCCCAAATGAAAACATTGTAGAGAGCCCACTGGGAACCCAGTGACATTCTGTAATGAAGAGATGGTGGATCAGTGTCTGAGTGAAATCTCTTCCCTTGATAGATTCTCAAGAAGAGTGTGAGATCCAGGTCAAAAGTGAGAAGTCATATAGCTCAGCCTTGTGGGAGGAGAATGGAAGTGGCGCCAGAATCTTTGGAAATCAGGGATTGCATCAGGATGGAACAGAGAACAAGACACAGGCTAGCCCAGATGAAGAGAATCAAACCAACAAAAAGCATTTCTCAAAGGTATTGAATGGGAGGGTTGAGAGCAAGTTGGCTGCAGATTCAGCAGAACTCAGACGTTCCAGTGAAGTCCTTGATTAAGGATTAATCCTGGAAACATTTTGCCCTTATATACAAACTTGTTATATTGCTGCAAGACATGCACCTCCCTGTATTGGCTAGCTGTACTGCTGGGATCGGACCTGTGTCAAGCCATGCTCTTTTGGCATGGGAAAACAAGAGTGTTTCATTAACATGTGGCCTCTTTCTTACTGCTGGGATCGGACCTGTGTCAAGCTACGCTCTTCTGGCACGGGAAAACAAGAGTGTTTCACTAACATGTGGCCTCTTTCCCAAATGAGAAGATGCTAAAATCCTGAGAGAGTGACTATGTATGTATGTCCAGGCCTCTACTTTGTGGCCTTGTGCTTTAATATCATCCTGTTTGTCTCCTTAAGCTGCAGAACACAGTATATTCCTCTGTTGAGCAGGGCCTGTGGATGTTTGAAGGTGTATTTATTATTGGACTCTTCCTTTTAAGGTATCCAATAAACAAAGGAAGGAGCAGCAGCGACTAGAGAAGAAGCAGCGTCAAGAAGAAAGGCATCGGCAGAAAGTCCTGGCAAACAGAAGTAACAATGCAGATAACAACAAGAGCGAGACAGACTTTGATACACAAGTGACCCTAGTGAAGACCTTTGCAGCTCTGAACATCTGACTGAACATATTATGGGTTCTTTGATGAAGCACGTAAATGGCAAATAAGACTGATAAGGAAGGTCACTGAGCTTTCAGACAAAGCCATCTTCAAAGCAGATTCCCCAGCACCCTTCTATTTTTAAACAATGTTTCGCTTGGGTTCTCTTTGCACATGCTAAGTTGTCTTTGGTTCTCCAGCTGCTGGAAGAACAACTCTTCAGTAACACTAAGGAACATCAGCCAAGCTTGTGAGGGATGGGCAGTCAAGGTTAAGCAAATTGAAAATGTAGAGACCTATTTTTACTATTCCAGAGACAGTCTATTGAACCTTGATCATCACCCCGTGCATCTTGTATGAGTTTTGTTTGGAGATCTCATAGTATTGCTTAAGTTTAACTACGGCGATATTTTACTAAGGTCAAGCATGAAGAGCTCTTATTTTAAATTACTGTGCAGGAGCATTTTTATCTGCTCCCAACTCAGGAACTTTTCTTTCTGTTTACATTAAAAATAGATAGGACAAATTCCCAGATCCCTTCCAAAGCTAATCAGCCAAATGCTATACCAGACATTTAAGACTTTTCCCTCCCCGCCCATAACTTGATAGTAAACTATAGTCCGGATAAAGCTGCTCTTGCTTTTTTTTGCACTAAACCATATGTTAATGCTGCTAACTGTTAGAGGAGATGGGGATGGTTGGGTCTATGCTTGTTTGTTTGCACAGAGAGGGTGAACTCTTGTTAAGAAGTCTGTAGGTGGTCTGATTTGTTGACAGCTGAGGTCCTTTTCTGACAGGACAGTGCCAAGAATAAGAATGAGGGACACCAATGTATTCCTGAGGATGCAGAGTTGATTCACCCAATCTAGTGAGGTTAAACAATATATGTAATCTTGACATAAGCAGATGTAAGATTTCCGTTATGTAATAGCAAAGTTGTGCTGTTTGGTCCATCCCCCACCTCTCTCCTAAGCATTAAGGGCTACAATCTAAAAAAGGAACTTGATTAATTACCTGTCACCAGTGGATAAAAATCCTGGGAAAAGGCTTCCAAGTAACACTGGGACCTACCTGTTTTATTCCTCGAATCGAGCTTTTGCAGCTTAAATTCCTCTTAGAAAAGGTCACCAACCATCACTGAGGAATTGATAACTAGAACTTCAGCCTTGTGCTGCTTTCCACAAAGAATAGGAGTCTGACTTAAAATAGGGCCAAATTCCATAGTCCTTAGGATTTGATGGTGTGGAGCACTGGACGTTGCTCAAGTATTTGGACCTGCTTTGGAAGTTAAGCTTTAAAGAGTGAAGGATTGGGGGGGACATTGCCTTACTCAGATTATAGTTTAAACAGAACATTTGAGTGAGCTGCACTTACATGACTTAAAACATATGAATGTCCTTTGGCTTAACTGCCAAAGTCTTAGTGGTTCTTGAGTTCCTCTTACTGAATATCAGCAAAATTTAAAGAAATGGTGCTCTGTTTCGTATGCTAGCAATATTAATGGTTGTGGGAGAAAAGTGAAACTATGAACCTCAGAGTTTAAAAAGCCTTTTGGTTCCTTTCTCATGGGGTGGTGGTAGTGAATACAATGAAAGGCCACTTTAAGAGATGACATGGTACATGAGAGAGGTAGTCAAAAAGTAGCTTACTGGTAGATCAGGTCAAGCTGTTTGTCATTGTTCCCCTGGCTATAGGCTTCATAGACTTTAGAAGTGATTACAAACACCTAGCAGTTTTGTGTTGGAACACAATTTACAGCAGTGGGGAAAATGCCTTAGCAAGGTTGTATCTACATGTCACTGATGAGGGAGTTGCCTCCTTGCTTTGTCACACTATGTTTTGATATAGGGAAAGGTGACTAGACAAACACCTGAACTGATACTGCTGCTTTGTCAGCTGTATAACTAGGAATTGGATTCTTGATAGTCTTTATGAATCATGTAGCTTTTTCTTGAACTAGAACTGATTAAAGGATTGTTTGTCTGATTCTGGATGAGGGGTGGGAAGGAAGTTGTTCTGAAATAAAATATAGCTACTAGATGAAGATTGCTTGTACCATAAACACAAACTGCTTCTCTTACTGATCCTGCAAAGCCCTGCATTGGTCTTGAAAAGATTAATGGGGCTGGCTTTTTTGTGCAGTGCTACCAGATTTTTAGTGGGGAGGGGAAGGGAGGAG